ATAGGTAGACTTTTTTGCAGATTGCCTAAAACAGTGTGTTTCAGATCAAAATTTGGACTGAAAAGGGAGATAATATGGCAAGATATTTAATACTGCTTGTTTGTTTTATAATTTAATTTCTGTCAGCATAACAAAACTGTTCTGATCCATCTGACTCAGTGGTTAAATGTTCAAGATAGTTCATAAACTGCCGCCTTTCAAGGGTAATAATAGACTTTCTCACATTTGGCTCTTTCTGGAGCTTATTCATTCTTGCCATCACAGCTACTGTTCTGCAGCAGGGTTGTCTCTTTAATAATTTTTTTTTAATTTATTATGTAATTTTGCCTGAGATTTTTCCATCTGGATATTTTTAAGATGAGTAGGAATTTTTAAGATTGCATTTCTGAATGTTGAACTGCTTGATGGAATTGTAACTTCTTCATAGCTGATGAATAACATGCTGTCACATGAGTGTTTCAACAATCTTTCTTTCAAAATGGTGTAGAAATTGTTCATTAGTAGCTTTAAAAGTATAGTGTGTAATGACTGTGTGGTGTGGTTGTGGGGTTTTCTTTTTTTTTTTAATGGAGCAATGCATTCTTATTTTAACTTCCAGGAAGCACAGGCTTATGCAGATGACAACAGCTTATTGTTCATGGAGACATCTGCCAAAACATCTATGAACGTAAATGAAATATTCATGGCAATTGGTGAGTTTGTGAACAAACTGTGAATTTAAAGGAATTGTTTTCATGAGAAACGTAACATCACAATCTTCATAATCTGAGATCTTATTTTTCACCTAAATTATTTCTGGCACTGAAGTTTCCTTAGGCCCTTTCAGATCCTTTTTGATGTTCAAAAGTCAGATAAACTTACTGTACCTTTTATGAGGCAGTGGTAATTGAAGCTGGAAATGTTTCAAAATGGGAGAATGACAATGGACTTGCTTTAAAAAAAGTCAAGTATTCATTTCAGTCTAAACCAAATATTTTCCTTTGTGTTAGATTTTGTTTGAATTCCAAATGCAGCTATCTGAAATCCAGATGTTGTGCCAAAGATGATAATGTGTGCTTAAATTTGATGTCCAAGTGTAAGTAAAGAACACTTCATGTAAGAAGTAAATTTACTAATGTATTTTTAGCCCAAACATAATGTTGGGGATTTCTGTAAAGATGCTAACTTGTAATAGTTAGTATAAATTACTAAGAAAATCTGTGAATTCCATTGATAGACACAAAATTGTATTTCATTGTTAATAACATTGTGAAAGTGGAGGAAAAGAAAGCATTTCTAGGTTGGTCACTGATCGCTTTGATAAATGTAGTGGCTCTACTACCAGTGAATAGTCATGTGTAGTGTCAAATAACTGTTAAATCTGCCTCATATTTGGTACTACAGTGACCTCTCTCTCCCACTTCTCTTTTGTGAAAAACAGCTTTGCTATCAAAATTAAATGTTTCTAAAGAGCTCTTATCTTCTGCTTTCCAAGTCAGCCAAGCAGAAGGGAATTTGTGGTGTGGTTCAAACTTCCAGCAGGCGCAGATCAAGTGATTACTGTAGCAACACTTGATAACAAGTACATGCTTTGTATTTACTATCAGTGTGGGGCTGGGCTGGGGGGAAACACAACTGCATAAGTGGAAAATATATTTTCTCATAAGTGTTCAAGATGGACTTGTGTTTAATGATACAGAAATGCTCAATTTCACTGTTCCGGCAAAATTTTTCAATTAACTTGTTTAAAGGTGCAGTTCTGATTGTATTAAGGAAAAAAAAAAAAAAAGAAAAATTAATCCCTAAAATCTGATAACTTTTTTTAATTTGTCTTATCAACAGTAGTTCTTACATCTCCATATTTTAATGAAGTATACAAAGTAAATTTGAAAAAAACAATGTCCTGTTAGTACCTGGGTGTATTGTCTGAAGGTTGGTTGTCCATGTGAGTATTCTTTCACATTGATGGGTGAAATTCAGCTTTGTCAGTGCATCAGAACAAGATCTCTGCAGCAATGGACCCTGAAAAGAAGTCTTGGCAAAGACAGAAGTATGGCATGGAACTTGGACCCACCTTCTGCATAGTATGGGTGCAATTGGCAGGGACCATGTATAAATATGATCTTCAAAATAGGAGAAAAATGAGCGCATGGACAGAATTGAGGGATGCAAGCTAGAGGTGCTTGTGAACTGACTGCTTTAGAGCTCATTCAGAACTTCTGGTAAAAACAGTTTGTGTTAAATTACAGTTCTAGGATGTATGTAGAGTTCAAAATGACAGTGTTCTGAAGGCATTTGTCTGCTGGTGCTTTGTCCCTTTGTGCTGACTCAGCAGCTTAGGGCCATATGAACTCTTGGCTTCTAGTATAGAATCATAGAACAGCCCAAGTTGGAAGGGATCTTGAAAGACCATCTGGTCCAAACTTTTGTGGGAAAGGGAGCCTGGGTGAAATTACCTATCCTCTTGAAATTATCTAACCCAATAGCACATATTGTTGGTGTGTATTCTGCTGGTTTTTTGGCTGTTACACTTATATGTCATTCCTTTTAGGAAAAGTTGTACTTCAAAAAGCTAGCCAAAGAGATTTTTTTGGCATTGAAGCACGCAGCCAAAATATAGAACAGGGATGGTTTTGGGGTCCTCGTAACAAGGGCAAGACAGCCTCACAGAAGTCCATTTATGTAGAACCTAGCTTTCTCTCCATCAGAAAACTGGTAGGAGGAGCTACTGCTCAGAGGGGTAACGTTTGTCACCCTTATTTCTCGTGTCAGGACTGGGGTGGTACCCTGGAGCTACAAGGACAACAAAGACATTCTCACAGTTAATTGACTCATAAGAGCTGGAAGGAAGAGGCAGCTTGGAGGGGAAAAAAAAAAAAAAAAGAGAGAAGAGATTTGATCTAGTGCTGAAGGCCATTTTATGTGCTGTATACATGTAGTTGTTCTGTATAGATAGGTGGGCAGTAGTTTGACCCATTTCTGTCTGGTTTGTGCCTTTTCAATCTTTGTGTCTTCTAGCAGTAACATCCTGATCTTAAAGCCTGTTCTGTGTAGGTGGATTCCCACAAGAGCCCTCACTGGTGTAGCATACCTGTGCAGATACATTTTACTGCTCAAGTTACTAATGCATTTCACTCTTGAAAATCATAGATAAGGTAGTTACTCATTAAGAAGTTAAATGTCTTAACTTCTTTTGTTACCAACACACTGAATCAAATCAGATTTTACAGTGATTATATTGATATGCTTATAGAGTAATAAAGTGTTAAACCGTTGTGTACTCAGGTGATTTAATCTTTGTATAATCTCAGTTTTAACTCTTATTTCTTGTTGATTTTATAGCAAAAAAACTACCCAAGAATGAACCACAGAATACAGGAGCCAATTCTGCCCGAGGAAGAGGAGTAGACCTTACTGAACCCACGCAACCACCCAAGAGTCAATGTTGTAGTAACTAAAACATCAATTGCTTTAAACTGTTCTGAATATTCTTCTGCTTCCTAACTGTTAATAACCATGGAATTGGAGTGCTTAACCTGGCCCAGTACAGCTTCCAAACAGTGAAGAGACTTATGATAATAGTCAAGTTCATGATACAGAGGGGTTTTTTTTTGACCTAAAATTTTAACATGCTTGTATCCACCACTGGCTGCAATGTTTCAGCAGTAGAGGAGAGGCGGAAGTGGAATAAACTTCCTTCAGTTGAAAGCTTTTAAAAATCACTTACCATTAGGGGTGTAGAAGAACTACTTTTTGTGGACCTAATTGGCCAGTTCCTGTAGCCTCAATACTGATTACTGTTCTAATAAATAGAATTGGGACTTTTCAGAATTCTCAGTTGTTCTTTAAAACCGTTTTAGAAACAGGGTCTAAAAATTACTTAAACTTATTGACAGTATTGATGCAACTGGTTGTTTCTGCAGGTATCTACTCTTTAGTTACACATTCCATAGTTTAATAACTTAAAATTGTTAATGCAAGTATTATTTGTAATTAAGAACCCTATGCTGGCAGGGAAGTGGAGTGTTAGTTGGTACACTGTATGTAAATTATATCAACCCAGTTAGTTATCTAAATGAATTAGTGATAAATCAAGTGAAACTTAATTTCTGATCTGTTCAGAGGGTACAGACTGATAAATGCAACTTTACAATTTAAGATTATTTTGTTTTCCTCTACAAACTGTAGGAGCTCTTCAAGTAAAACCACCACAAACTCAGTGTCTCTGACTTCTTTCTTGGTTTTGATCATTGCTGGCCATCACAGTTTGTTTTTCCCCTAAGGAAAAAAATAGTGCACTAACGATTATGTACAACCAACTTGATTTTAAATTTGGATATTAATGTACTGTAAATAGGTACTCTGCATTGTAGTCTACATTTGTTTAATACTTTCTTTAATATTTAAGAGTTGCTTAAAGGTATACAAAATGTACAGTTACTTAAAGCTAACTTTCTTCCTCTCTAATCAAAGGGGGTTCTAAGTTCTTCCTTTATGGCTAGAACAGTAATAAATGATGCTCCTGTATCTGTAACATAAGTACTGCTGTCTGTCAGTAATGAACTTTGCAACTTTGTTTTCCAAAGTACATTTTATTTTGATCTGTCCAGTATATTGCACTAATTCTTTTAGTTATTTTCATTATATGAAATCTACCAAGTGTGTCAGAAGAGATGAATTAGTCTATTTAAATGTTGAACTGATAGCAGAAACTTACTTGTGCAGATTTTAAATTTGCGGTAATCTGGGTTTAGCAAGGAAAATGACAGTTCACCAGTGTTTAGTTTTATATTGAGGTGCTCAGGTTTGAATAAAGTGGTTTAAGAGAAAATGATTTTTTTTTGATTACTGTTTCTTACTGAGTTTCAGAAGGTTTTATTGCATTTGCACAGTTCCAGGCAAGATTTCCAATTTACTGTATGGGTCAGCATTTAAGATGTTTACAAGTAAATTCATGACGCAGCTAAATATAAGCTGGTACTATATGTACTGTGGCACTCCAGTTATCCTATGATAAATTTTTAAATGTTGAGGTAATTTGGTATCTTACTGCATCCGTTTAGAAGTACAGTCAAAACCGTAATATTATCTCTGGAACCTGCAGCTAATGCAGCCTTTACCAGCTGCTCACTGATGTAGTGTGCTGCCTTGTCATAGAGGGTCTCGGAGGTGGCTCTGCCTGTTCCTGCAGTTTGTGATTCACAATTGCTCAGGTGTGTTTTTGCATCCTCTTCAGACTGTGGTGATACAGTCTTGAGCAGTTCTTGACCAGTGTAACTTGCAGGTTTGTCACAAAATACCTTGGAGTCCACTTCTTCTACCAGTTGTGGACCTGAGTCATCATCAGATAGACATGCTTTTGTGTCTCTTGGGGGCTGTTTCACGTCTTCAGGCCCTACTGCCAGTACATTCTTCAGCAGCTGTTGATGGGTGTAACTTGGACCTGTCGCATGGAAAGTGTCAGTGTCTGTTTCTTCTTGCTCTGCAGTCTGTGACTGTGGCTGAAAACTGTCACATAGGTAAACTTTCCTGTCCTCAAACTGTTTCAGTTCTTCAGAGCTACCTTGTGTCCTGGAATTGGGCTGGTTTCTCTCTCTGTTTTGTGAATTTTCATCGTTGTTACTGAAAAGAGGCAGTTCTGGATCAGCTTGATTTTTGTGGTCATCAGTTTCCTTAGGAACTCCATCTTCTCTTTGCAAATCGTTCTTCCTGGAACATTTTGGCTTATTTTGTTTCAGGTTGTCTTTTGAGTCGGTGAGAAGAATGTCTTTATTGGAATACGGTATCTCTGTTCCATCTTGCAGATCACTAATACCCTTTGGGTCATTTAAGTTCTCTCCAGTGAGGGGCATCAAGTACTGGCACTTAGACGGAGAAGGCCCATGTTGCTGGACACACTCGGGCGTTCTCAGGTAACGAGTGAATGTTGTTAGTGTTAATGCAAGTACTTCATTGTAATCCAAAGCTTCCCAAAGCCCATTAGAAGCTAAAATAAGAAACTGACAGGTATCGTCGATAGGGACAGATACAGTGTGAGGCACAGGTATAACAGATCTTTTCAGTACTGGATCTCCGTGATGCCCCAGGCCCCTTGTCGTCCTCAGGTACCCCTCTACTAGTCCGTCTGGTTCATGAGTGCTGATCTTGCCACCATTCCTAAGTACGCGTCTTCTCTCGCTGACATTAGAAGTGCTGTGCTCTTCTGAGAGGAAGTGACCCTTTCCATTTTTATATAAGACTGCATGTGCATTACCTAAAATTGAAATAAGATCATATTTTGCATTATAGTGTACTGAATTTTTTTAAGATATTGCTGTTGCATTAACATTTAGCCTTTTGCTGAGGGCTGGGAAAAAAAACTGAGATCGTAGTTCAGTTATCAGTTATCAGTTTATAACTCAATTATCAATTGAATAACGTAGTTTATTCAATTAATTATCAGTTATTATTCAATTATCAATTACTGTAGTTCAGTTATCACACAGGCAACAGTGTGTCCATCAGTCAATCCGGTTCTATTTTACAGCAAAGTTTTCTGTGTTGGTTTTTTTCCTTCCCAATATTCAGAAGACTATTCCATAACCTTATTCTTCTGACTGCAACCAAACTCTTATGAGGGGTCTTAAGTGACATTTCATTCAGCCTAAAGTGCAGTCTGATAGAACTGTTGCACTTTGGTTTTTAAGCAGGAGTGCTTTTCTCAAATACTTTTCTTCCCTAGGAGTGTGTGCTTTCAAAATATTGTGGCTGAATGAACTCATCAAGAAATTTCAGATTCAGTCTATTTTTAGCAGTATAAAACTTCTAGTTCCTGAAAATAATTTGGATATCGTTTAGAATTTACAGTTTACTAACGTGATGCCTTTAAGTCTTCCTCAGTTAAAGGACCAAGAGTTCTCACAGTCATCATAAGAAGTCAAGGACTAACTTCTTTCCTTTGGTAGGAATATATACTTTACCTTTCCCTCAACACTTGCAAAATCTGGAGGGTGAGAACGATGTGTTAGGAATTGCAATGCTGCAGGTGACTAATCTTGTCAAACCTGAATGCAGAGTGCGAAGGAAAGCAGCTCTGAAGCAGTGATGAATTGTTTGATGTGCTCTATGGCTACGCTGGGAGATGACCACTTTTTGTGCTGGAGGAGGTTATTGCTCTGCTCCCCTATGTTGACATACGGGCAAAAGTGATGGCTTGCAGAAGGAACTTAGTGGGATGGTAGCTTTCCAGGCACTAAGCTGGCTGCAGTGTGTTCATTTGTGTTGCATTTTTTAAATCCTCGACCTGGGCTAGAGCATATATCTCTCTAAAGTGTTAATAAGTAGGTACTGCTGATGCAGTAGTTGTATTTCTTTGGCATTATTGGCATTGTCTAGTGTAGGAGACAGCCAGGTGTAGTCTCTGTGAAGGCAGATTTTTATAGAAGGTGATTCAGAATGAAGGATGCATCTTTGGTTATAGAATGTGGATGCCTTAAGTTATGCTTTGTGAATGTTTGCTTGTGCTTGCTCCCTCCTTCATCTGATGTCTCTGGAGAGCTAGGAGACCGTCTAAAATCTCCTTTGAACCCTTGGAGTGAGACCAGCAGTAAGCCTAACAAAGGGCATAATATAACCCACGTGGAACAATTTGACTGCAAGAAAGAGAAAAATCTAGTCACTTTTTGGATGCAAATGTCTTGTCTGCAAACCAGAGACGCAGGGCCTGTCATTGTGGGACTAAATGAAGAAGACAAAGCTGGCCAGTGCCAGAGTCTGCTGCTCCGCATATCTGACCACCCAGTTGCCTGCCTGGTGCTGAAGGCACGTGTCTGCACTTCTGTAAGAACATATTCGTGGGGGGAGAATGAAGGTCGATGTTGTGCAAATCTTTTTCTTTGATGTGATACATTTGGTGGAAAATGAAGTGTATGAGGTTAAATAAATGTGTATTTAGCAGTGGTTCAAAAATGTGAACTTTAATCATAAAAGGCTTAAAGTACCTGATCAACTTGAAGCCTTATCTCATTAACAGAGCTTGGGTTAACAGTATCTTTAAATGCATAAAACCTCAGTCTGGGAGGGTAGGATGGAGGCAGGTAACTAGAACCAGAAAGATTCGGTGAATTCTCTACCAAATTTTCATGCCTTCGTCTTGCCTCTCAAGCTCATTGTAATAAAAATGGGTTTCCTCCCCAGTAAGCTGAAGACAGATGCCTCTGAAAACATAACAGTCATTATGAGAGGAAGGGAGAGGTGGGGACAGACCACAATTACTTAGCATCAGTGCATGGTCAAGTTGGTTTATGGTGTTCCTCAGACTGGCAGAGGGTTGCATATTGTTGTTAAGAAAAACCCCTTTTTTAAAAATCTGGGATCAGCTTTTCCAAATGTGGAATATTACTTTTCTGAGGGGAAAAAAAAAAGCAGCTTCTCAGTTTTCCCTCTTCCTACTGCTCTTGACCCTCTTGATGAGCTTCAGTCAGATTTCATATGAAGAAGTCTTACAAGTTTTGTGAATATACTCATCGGAGGAGGAAAGAGGGCCCCTGTTGGTGGAAGGTTGGAGTGTTAGCACACTCCTTACTAATGCTAGGGAGAGTGATAGAAAAGTATTACAGTGCTGGGCGTGTGCTTCAAGCAAAGATGTAAGACACTAGAGAACGCAACGGTGGACACAAATCTATTTGAAACAGCTTTTTTTATATAATTCTGCTTGTGTACTCCTTTATTGGAAAGCAAGCATCTTGCTTGTAATCTTAACTGTCTTACGTATACAAGAGATCTTAACTGGTAACAGAAATGGCCAAGTGGGAAGATAGAAGGAGTTGCTAAGAACTGCAAGAGCTTTGATTAGTGTTTCCTGCAGCAGGACTGGGTGGAGAAGCATTAGGAATGTATCGGTGGTTTTGATTGTAATTAGTAACTCATTTTCTACACGACAGAAAGGCAAAGCAGAGCTCTTCTTCAGAAGGAAACAGGTCTGAACAGGTCTTCCATAGCAGCAGTAAATAACAACAAATTCCTGTTTCAGAAATTAATAATTCAGATGATCTCCACAGATCATGTTTTCAGTTTGCTGTAGCAAAATATGGTGGCACTTCAGTGAAACAAATGGATAAAAATAGTATCTTAAGCATGTTTCATTGACACAAGGGATTTAGCAGATCTAAAATGAGAAGATTTGTGGTTGCCTGCCCTAAAATGATGATACCTTAAAACTCTTGATTAAAAATAAATAAAGCAACCTTACTACTCTCACAGAGGTCACTTGTGTATTATGGAATGTTTCCTAACTGCGTATTTCACATTAGTAAACTGACTACTACTTTAACTCAAATATCATATTGAAGCTACTTATCTAATAAGCTGCTTGTCTGATACCAGCATCAGTTGCAAGGGAGTTTATCATGTCTCCTTCACACTGTCAAGTTAAAGCAATTGCTGCTTTTTATCTCCAGCTATCTACTGCCAATAAATAGCTGGATAATCTTATTTTTGCTCTTTTTACCACGTGGAGAAAAAAAAGATAATCCTGGTATGGAATGTACATACCTATATTAGCAATATGCAGTAGCCCACCAACACCTTTGGCTGTCCTGGCTAATGGACTGCGTGTGTTGTTCTCAAAATGTTGGTTTTCTTCCTCCTCAGTGCCATCTGTCTCTTCAGTGGGGATTCTTTCTACTAAACAGGTAACAGCTGAACAGCCACTCCAGCGAACTTTGGAAACCTCATTCCTTCCCAGTCGTAAGAGTCTATCCATCCTCCAAAAGGACTTGGCATATGCTTTGTGAATCCATTCGTAAGTATTGGTCTTGTTGGTCCCGTCATTGCTTGGTTTATCAGAGAAAATCTTCTCTTTCTCCCTGTAATCTGCCTTGATTACTGTGGCAAAAGAATCTAGAATTTGCTGTTCTTCCTTACTCTTTTTGTAGGAGGAATCCGTTTGAGCAAGCTGGTCAAGAAATAAGTGGAAGCTCTGCTGCAACCGTTTCTGCAGCTGTCACACCATGAGAGCCGTCAACTAACCCCAGAAAACATGTATCTGACCTATTTCCATAGTTGTTGAGCACAATAAATCTGTCTTCCATGTCTCCTTGCCATGTGGAATTTTTATCTTGGCAAATTGATAATGCTTTTATTAAAGAATTATTTACTTTCTCAAAAGTACTAGGATTGTTAATATTGGCAAGATCACAATTTGATGTAGGAGTGTGATTATCCATAAGGAATTCAAACGAATGATCTATCTTCTGCCTATAAGTCTCAGAATATTTGGGAATCTTAGTCAATTTTGAAATTAGTTTCTGTCTTTGAGCTAAAAGTGTTTGTTGTCAGTCTCTGTTTGTGAGCTGTCAAAGCCTAGCAAAGTTAGGGCTTTGTGGGTTTTCTTATGATGAAGAAGGTGGTGTGGATATATTGTGTCATGAACGATATATTCTTGTACCTGGTGAGTTATCGGTCATTTTTTTCCTCCTTGAGAGTCAGTGCATAACCCTGTGCCTTCACAGAGTTAAGGCTGTAAATACAAAGCGGTCTATCCTCAGCTTTCCTGTATGTGTTCATCACTTTCCAGGCATCATAGTGGAGTGTAATTCCTATTTGCATGTTCAACATGAAGATTAAAAGAATCTGCTAATCTTGCATGGGAGATATAAAACAGGGCCAGCAGCACTGGTGTATCTTTTCAATCAAATCTCACTCTCATTGCTGTCAGTTTTAGTTGTGAGCCCTTTAGGAGTCAGCTGCAGAAAAATGAAATTACTTTACATCATTGTATTTAGGCACACAGGAGATGATGGAATAGTCTCCACATAAATGTAACTTGTTCTTCTTGCTTATGAGAACTAGATTTTGCAATGTAGGATGGATTTTGAATGCGTCGGTTCCTAAATGGAAAAAGGATAATATTAATCAAATGGACCAAGCAGTGTGTGGGAGCTTTTAGGTCTGTGGGAAGCAGCCCTGTTCCTGGAACTGCGAGACCTGTGAGGAGCAACAGCATGTGCCTGCTGTATTCTCCAGCTGTTGGGATGGAAGGAGAGACGCACATTGCAACAGAGCTTGCGGAAAAGCAACGAGGCTGAAAACGTGGCCGGGAGGCCAGGTACTGCAAGGACATAGGGCCTAATCAGCACAAGACACTCTGCCCGTTCCCCCCAGCCAAAGCCGAACTCTCCCTTCTGTCCCCGTGAGCTTCCTTTCTCCTACTTATGCTCCTTGCTCCAGCCTTCCTCTTCAGCCCAGTCTCTCTCCCCTGATTCTTGTTCCTCGATGCTGTGTTACCTCCTGGGACTCTCCGCACTCCCATGCCTACGTTCTCTTGAATATCTGTTTACACATGCCGCTCCTACTGCTAGCGATGGGGATATGTGCATGTAAAGACACTGTTGGTCTTCTGCTGTTACTAGCAAAGGGAGTACTGAGAGCCAGGACAAAATTGGAGACTCTTTAGGTCTGGCAGCTGGTGCTGCAAACCCAAAGGTCAGAGCTGTAGAGCAAGTCCTAGTGAGGCACTCCCTGACAGAGGCCAGCTGCTGCAGAGGGGCTGCCTGAGTTCAGCACCCACTGCACGGCATCAGCAAGCTGAGGCTGCTTTTTAAATATTCTGACTTGCTCTGATTTGGGTATATTTACAAGAATGATAAAAGGTTGCACCATGGATGCAATCTCAGCTGCATTTCCAAGCCCTAGTTTAAAACCTTATGATCTTGGAGTTTATCAGGTATTAGAATTTTGGTTTAATACAAGCAAAACTGTGTATTTTTCAAATCATGTTCTCAGAAATAGCTAAACCATATTACCTGGAGCTTTTTCAATTGATTCTGCTTCAGGTGTGGAAGATTTCAGTATGAACAGTTAATATCCAGCAGAGTTTTAAGTCACTGAGAGGTGTGAGGTGACCCTATTTGTAGCAGCACAAATCTGCCTATAATCTGAAAGGGGTAAGAAAACAACATACAGAGGAAATACCAGTATTTCTTAGGCAGCAGATGGAATCAAAATTGCTCGACTGGCTGCTGTGTCCTATAAAATGATGTTATGCAAGCAGCTGTAAGGCTTACCTGCACATCTTTTCCTAGATCAGCACATGATATCCATGCACAGGCACCATAACAACACAAAATCCTGGCTCAGATTGCCAGCCTATACATCATCTGTCTACTAATTCTGAAAGCATAAATGTTTGTTTACATTTATTAAGTTAATGCAGCTTATTTAGTGTTTATGTGTGTTTGGATGAGAAATGCTAGACAAAAATGCATATATACGAGGTTTCTCTTGCGCACTCTCTTCTGAGATTTTTGACTTTCCGTGACCGTTGTGAAGTGCTGTTAATCCACCACCAAGGCAAAGAGCAGTGGTTTACCAGCACTGATATCCCACAGCAGCATTACAAGCGTAGCCTTTGGTAATTTCATCCTGCTTTGACCTCAGCCATTTTTCTGGGTCTCTCTCTTTAAATTTGATACAGCCATAACTTAAAGCAACTATTTTGCAACTCTCGTCTCTTCCAGGATTTCAGCTGGGAAGTACATTTTCTTCTCTCTCGTTATTTCTGTTCATTACTTCTGGGTTATAAGCATTTCCATGATCTGTTTTTCAAAGCATGCACTTTTTTTTTCCTGTGGTGACTGTTGTTCGATGAAATTCCTTCAACTGTTTGAGAATTACAGGAGCATTAAAAGACGAAGCCCCAATGTCCCCCAGCTCCCATTAATACATCTTAAAGAATCAAATGCCTCTGATCAGCTGAAGCAGATTTTAAAATCTTATAGTCAATTGTAATGCTAATTTTTATAATATGATCTCTTCAGTAGAAGGTGATACCACTTTAAAAACCCTTATGACACTGGTGTACCTTGTCCTTGGAGAGGCAAGCTTGCAGGTGACTACAGCTCTCAATCCTCTGTAGGACCAGTTTATGGGAAAGTCCATCTCTCCGCAAGAGGTGAGATCAGGCTCCTCTAGAAATGCTGCACCACTTCAGTGGGGCAAGATAAGGAGGCATGTGATTAAAATATTAGGGAAAAGTATGCTTGCACAGATCCCTGTTCCTTTATTCTGCATAGTTAGGATTTGAAACCAGGAGATCACAAGGTTTTTCACTGCTATCATCATGGTGATGCATTCAGGTGTGAGAAAAATTACGACTAATATATACAGAAAATCTGGTAAGATGCTTTGTGTCAACCTTGTAAATATGAGCCCATTTTACACTTAGAGTATATAGAAGCCATTGGATTAGAGACAGGAAACTGAAAACTTTCAACAAAATGTGAGTTTGACCTCAGTAAACTTAATTTGTAACAAACATACTTTATAGATGTTTATATCTCTGTAAGTGCTAACAAATCACAATTTCAGAGCACTAAAACAGTCCCACTTTATTACAGTGTGTAAATAACCAGGATAATGTGTATAGTAACTCATGTAGAACAACAAGCAAGATATGCTGCGACTCTTCAGTTGCAATCATTTTGCTCATAATTATTGCAAGGGCAGCCCTGATGTTAATTTTTTTTTATAGTATGCAGACGCTGTTCACGTTAATAGCGGAAAACCTTGTAAAAATGAAATTAAACAGGAAACATTTCCTTTGTTGATCTCTTACAAAGTGAAAAGGTTAGTCTGTATTTCCTTCTCTCCTTGCATTTACCCCATCAGGAACAGATAGAGACTCTCAAGTTTTTTGCTGTCAGATTAAAGGATAACGGTGAGATACTGACAGAACAATACGGGGAGCTAAAGCACTCTCAGCCTCAGAGAGTGAAAGATAAATTCAGCTTTCTAGCTCACTGCAGTTTCCCTGTGCCTATTTAAGGAGCCAAAACTCTGCACTGTTTAATGTTCTGAGCTGAAAATAGAAGCAGATAAATATATATTTTT